ACGTGATATAATGGCTTACTCCTTGACCACAGTTGCTTCCGGTTCATCAAACACTTGTTGGAGAGAAGCACGTGATGCCAAGCATCTTTCTGAGGCATTTCTTACGTTTTCAGTGAAATGATTGATGATCGGCTGACCAGTCCACTCACTTGATGCCCAGCAGTTGAGCGTGGTCAAGGCGCGTGTTACCGCCTCGCCAACTGCACCTGCATATAATAACACTAATTCTCGTAAAACTGTGTTCCTATATCATATGGTATTCAAGGCAGTCCACAAAGGTCAGTGTGGCCACCAATGTTCACCCCCTGCTCAGACCAGTGTACCGTATTGTTGTTCATTTCTCCGTAAAACTGGTTAAGGTCACTCTCCAAATGTGCACACGTCTCGCATCTGCGAGTCTAACCCCCCAGTGGCACAGTGGTTTGTCTACGGACTTACACTGATAGAAACCTGGTTTCGATACCCGTGCTGGGCAGAGCACAGAGAGCCCTTTGTGTAGCTTTGTGCTTAAATAACAAACAACAACAACATCATCTGTGAATCTAACATCCAACCCGCGAATCGTTTGGCCAAATAACATGTTCCATGATACTACTGTCGACGGGCTGTTTTATGGCGACCCATTATAAAGCGTGTGTGTGTGTTTCAACACCAAAGAAATGGAGGGAAATATTTAGATAATTTAATAACACAAAGATATAATCAAGCTCTAAACCATGACGATCTTCAAACACAATTCATTAGAATGAGCAAAATGCATTGACATTGCTACCACTTGATCACAAGGTTACTAAACAGTTAATCTGTAATATATTGACTTACTTGTACAGCTTAACTTTTGTTTCATCTACACACACTAAACGTTAACATCGCAGTGCATGGGGAAAAGTTGTTCAAACTGTTTTGACAAAAAAAGGAAGAAAAAGAGCGGGAACGGAAGATTCTTTCACTAAAGTCAACATTCTGGGGTTATAAACTCTTTAACGTTTTTTTAAACAAACGCAATCATTTCAGTAAGCGTTTCTAACATACTTCGCAGAAACGAACACGTGGAATTAAACAGCTAACAGTTCCAGAACTCCTTACATTAGTAACTAGAACACGTGGAATTCAACAGTCAATTACACTCTGTAAAAAAATCTCAAGTCTTCACGTTCACCAATATAATAGAGAACTCGTGCGCTGCCCACCTTTATGAGAAGGCCCGCACCTCAGGTTATATGCCCTTTGCTACAATTCACCAACAAATGACGTGTGAATCTCTTGGTGGTTTACTGAACCATACAATACGTTATAGCTGACGTCTAACGACCGTGGCTACGGCGAACGTAAGCAATCATAACGACTTAGCCGAGGTCGTAACACCTACGAACTGGGGGAGACGGCACATCCCCTGCACGCGCTCTGCGCTGTAAGAAGATAGCTTTCCAGCTCAGTGCCTATACTTATCGCTTTACTCCCTTCTCACCAATCATCGACTCTAAGCCGATGTTCCGTGTGGCACAAAAGTAGACAGTGGTGAAGCTCGTGCTATCTTTGGGGATGTGCTATAGAAGGAAACAGAGTATTACAAATATATGTGGGGCGGGAGGTTCTTGATAAACATCAATATAGATATGCACGAAAATCCCAAATTGTATTCGAACAAAACCATCAGGATCCTTTATGCCTATGTAACGTACAATTTACAGGATAAACTATTCCAAAATACACGAAACTTTACACACACTCGGTGTCAGTTGTTCACGTTGATGTAACGTTCAGTTTTCAGAATAAACTATTCCAAAATACACGAAACTTTACACACACTGGTGTCAGTTGTTCACGTTGATGTAACGTACAATTTGCAGGATAAACTATTCCAAAATACACGAAACTTTACACACACTTGGTGTCAGTTGTTCACGTTGATGTAACGTACAGTTTACATGATAAACTATTCCAAAATACACGAAACTTTACACACACTCGGTGTCAGTTGTTCACGTTGATGTAACGTACAGTTTACAGGATAAACCATTCCAAAATACACGAAACTTTACACACACACTGGTGTCAGTTGTTCACGTTCATGTAACGTACAGTTTACAGGGTAAACTATTCCAAAATACACGAAACTTTACACACACTTGGTGTCAGTTGTTCACGTTGATGTAACGTACAGTTTACAAGATAAACTATTCCAAAATATACAAAACTTTACGCACACTGGTGTCAGTTGTTCACGTTGATGTAGCGTACAGTTTACAGGATAAACTATTCCAAAATACACGAAACTTTACGCACACTTGGTGTCAGTTGTTCACGTTGATGTAACGTACAGTTTACAGGATAAACCATTCCAAAATACACGAAACTTTACACACACACTGGTGTCAGTTGTTCACGTTGAATAGCTGGATGGTTCGGGCCACAATAATAAAATATACTTTGAAAATGTTCGGAATTTTAACAAACATAATGATAAGTGGTTAACATGTCCGGTCTGTGAATCAGAGAATTCAGAGTTTGCCACCCTTTATAGCCAAAAAATATACGTTCCACATCTTAGGAGCCGTGGGGTTCGCTATCAGAGTGACCGCCAAATTCCGCTATTCTGTCAGACAAAACCAGCAAATGGCTGAGCGAGCGAACGAAGATTAGGAAAGTACCAACAGAAATCATCAACTCCATATCAAACCGGCCAACCAAAAAAACCTGAATCTAAGAAAAAATTATAACAACAGTACAGAAGGGTTTGTTTGTTTGTTTTTGAATTTCGCGCAAAGCTACACGAGGGCTATCTGCGCTAGCCGTCCCTAATTTAGCAGTGTAAGACTAGAGGGAAGGCAGCTAGTCATCACCACCCACCGCCAACTTTTGGGCTACTCTTTTACCAACGAATAGTGGGATTGACCGTCACATTATAACGTCCCCACGGCTGAAAGGGCGAGCATGTTTGGTGTGACGGGGATTCGAACCCGCGACCCTCAGATTGCGAGTCGAGTGCCTTAACCACCTGGCCATGCCGGGCCAGTACAGAAGGGAGGAAGAGGTCTACCTGAACCTGACCCTCCCAGGTCGTAAAAACGACCTAAATCCCGATCCAGAGAAGAAGAAGAAGAAGAAGCAAATGGTTTGTCAGTGAGTGGTGTTTTTCCTCTTGTCTATTAGTACAAAATTACAGAAGGCAGATTGCCGTTCAGGAGTTAGCGTTTAAATCTGAAGCAACAAAAGAAAGGAAAAAAAAAACAGTTTAGAATAAATTGGGATAAATCACAATTAAAGGTATCTCAATTTGAATTAATTATTCAGGAGAATCATAATTAATCATCAACTTTAGTTTTACTGTAAGCGAAATATGCATAATTTATTTTGTCACTGAAGAAAAAATAAAGTATTGGAAAGTTTATCAAAATTATATATTAAAAAAATCCAAGTTTTTAAATTAATTTGATTCGAATAAACCAGATGTCGCTTTTTCAATTATTTCGAAAGTCATATTAAGACCAGATTCATAAAAGAAATATATCTTAGTTATTATGTTTCAATTCATTAAGTGATATTCCAGTGGTGTTTTAATTACTGCGCAATTTAAGAAAAATACGAAATATTTAAAATTTGAAACTGTATTATTCATTTTAAATACAAAAATAATATTTTACTAACACGGACCAATGTTTGTAAAAAACGTACAGTTTTGTCCCCCTGGTGGGACAGTCATAAATATGGAGTTAGAACGCTAAAATCCTGGATTCGATTTCCCGCGGTGGATACAGCAGATAGCCCAATGTGCCTTTGCTCTAGAACAAACAAATAAACGTATAGCTTAAAAAAAAAACTCTTAATATCAAATGTACATACGTTTATACAAGTATAGTCCCTTAGTCTCCCAGAATGCAAAGGTTTTTGTTTGTTTGTTTCTTTGTTTCTTCTCAAATTAAAAAAACTTTAATTTTTAATTGTTGAGGCTTTAATCGAAGAAAAATACTACAATATTAACAACAAAGAAAAAATCTGAGTATAGTCTTATAAGAGAAGCCGCCCCCAGAACAAACGAATTAAAAGTAAATAGTACCTGAATAATTTAGGAAGTAAGTGACTGACCCCCCCCCCCCCCGAGTGGAAGATTCGTGTCGCATTATCGTGCGCCCCAACGAGTCATAAATAGTAAACTTGGATCACGAGAAGCATTCATACCTAATCCCTCTTTCAATAATGAATTAAATTAGCAGGGACATCCACAAAGAGGCAAGTAGGATCATGCCACCCTCCCCTCCATAACACTGTGCATGCATACGGACTCGGTAATATGAGTGAGTAAAA